ATTTGATGTATTTTAAAATGATTCTATTTATTTATTTTTTGCTTCGGGTAGCTATAAAAGCTCGCAAAGCTCTGTTAGTGAGTTGTTGACCAGTATGACAACGATAACATTTTTGGTGGAGAGAACATGAAGATAACATTACTGTTTATAAAAGCCAATCGGCGACACAGTATGGCTAAGAAAAACCTAGGTATGTGAACATCATGTATTGATAATGCACATATGTGTATATATATTTATATCCCACTATATATACCAACTAGATATGAGTACATAATGCAAAATAAACACCCTTCACTAAATTTTCAGGCAATGTACCATAACGCTTGGTACGAAGCAATCTTCATGCATTTGTTATTATTATTTTTAAAAATTTAACATGGAAATATTATAGGTATATAGAAGAGAGATTTAGGCAAATACCCTTATTTGAGGCATATATTAGAGGATTGCCCATTGATGGACATTAATGGTCAAAATCATACAATTATGTTTCGAAATGTCCAAAATACCCTTTTTTAACTGAAAATTTTTTGCTGGTAACAGAGAAATGTCATGAGAGAGGAGAGAGAAGAGAGACATATTATTTACATATGTTGATAGATTTTCTTAAATGCTAAAAATATTATCAAATAATAATATTTTTGAATGTATAATATAAAAATATTATAATAGATAAAATAACTTAACATTTGATATAATTAACATAAATTACAATTAATTGCAAAATTTCAACATAAATCTATAATTTGTTATAAATTCGATATTACATGTATTTGTTAACAGCTAACACATCTGTTAACATATACAAAAATTATTAACAGTTAATGTCTCTGTTAATAATCACTAGTGTCGATTGTTAACAAAGTTGTTAACTGTTAACAAATAATGTAGATGTTAACAGAGATTTTAGCTGTTAACAAATACATGTTCCAGATGTTAACAAGAGTGTTAGTTGTTAACAAGTATACGTATCAGAGGTGTTAACACAAATGTTAGATATTTATGAAAATTATATATCTTAATAGAGGTGTTATGAAAAATATTTAACATATTTATTTTACATGTAATTCATGTAAAAATAATAATTAAAAGAGGAGATGAAGGAGAGAACGAGAGAAAGAGAGAGAAAGTTAAAAAAAAAAAAAACAGAAATAAACTTGTAGGCTGACATGCATAGACATGTAAGAAGAGAGAGGCAGAAGGTCAATTTGGTCATTATATTTGATTCATTCACATCATGTGTATTTCCCTAAATATGGGTCCTAAAAGGATATCCCAGCAAATAATCTCTATATAGAAGAACCATCCTAATGCTGAAAGGGTACTCTACTAATATATTATTTCTCAATATTCAAATAGACCGAAACCAATGACCGATAGAAAAACCATCCTATGGATCTATAGAAGAACTATTCTAATTCAGAAAGTGTAGTCTACGAATGAATCAAACATATTAGCCTCCTAATTACGTCTCTTTGTCATTCAACCACAAATTTACTCGATCATAAAATTACATATTTTATTATTTATCTATACTATTAAAAGAGAAGAAGTCTAAATAAATCTACTTAAAAAAGTTGTTTGGACTCTTTCATCAGACTAACATTTTTTTGTCTTTCCTTATATTTCTCTAATTATATCAATACTTTACAATTTAAATAAACTCATTTATTACTTTCCATAATCTATCATAAAATTTCTCTAACAATAAATATTCATGATATTATAACTATGACACTTTGGTTTAATTAATTATATGCAATCAATTATTAAATTTTGATATTACATTCTTATACAAGAACAAAATGATTAATTTTATGATATATAAAAATTAAATGGGTCTAAACATTATAAGTTGGAGATTTCAGACGAAATTGGTCAAAACATTTATTTAAATAAGATATGTTTATTTATTTTACATGATAGATTTTTATTTAATTTTAAATGTAATCTAGCCTACGATTTAAATATCAGATAGGTTGAATATTTTTAATAAAAATATTCAGATAATTCATTGATTTGTCTAGTTTGGTTTAAAATAGTATTTTAGGCTATTTAGTATTTAGATATTATATATAACTAATATTTGTAGGTATATAATTTATATATAAAAATTTAAGTACCCATTTGGTTATCGATTCGATTTCTATTTTTAGATTCTAGAGATATATGATATGATCGATTATTTATAAAATTTGGCTTAATTTAACTCCGTTTATTTTTTTAATTTTTTTTTAAAAAAAATAAGTACCCATTTGTGCATAATCAAAAAACAGAAACACGCTTCTCAATGGGTTAATAACAATCTTTTGATTTTAAGATGTTTTTACCATATTCGTTTTATTAATTTTTACAAGACTGAAATAAAATAATAGAACAAATTTTAAATATTATAGTTATCTAATAATAGACATAAATTCATTATATATTTGACTTTACGGTCAATAAAAATATAAGTAGCGCGGGTCAAAATCTAAATTACTTCATCTGTAAGTTAATTTAGCACGGCCAACTATTTAATTTACCTTAATTATATCAACCAAAAAATGTAAATTGCACCTACTTATATTTTCTAGCATGATTCTGAAAAACCTAAATTGATTACAAAATATTCTTTCATATATTCTCTTAACCTAAATTGACAACATGCCTCTCCTTTTATAAATACAAGCTATCTCAGACCCTTTTACCATCAACCCAATCAAATTCAAAAACACCATCAAAACCCATCAAAATATCTATTCCGGAATATTTGGCTTTACGGTCAACAAAAAAAATATCCACGCTTCTTAAGCGCGGATCAAAATTTAGTTTATTACTCCCTCCATTTCTTAATATATGATGTTTTGGGTTGGTGCACAAAAATTAAGAAATTTACATTATTCTAAAAATCACTTTAAAATATAATATTATAATCATTCAATCAATTATAAAAAAAGACTGTAAAATTTTATTGGTTGAACAGTTTTCAATCAAGTTAAAGTTAACCTTAAAACCTCGAAAGATATCTTAAAATTTTAAAACATCATATATTTTGAAACAACTTAAATCTTCTAAAACATCATATAATTTGAAACTGAGGCAGTATTAATTTTCACACAACAGTTTACCGATTTCACCAATTTTACTCTTTCTAATTTTCTCCACTAGTGAGACCTGAGCGGAACATGCACGTTCACCTGAAAAAAAACAATATATACGAGAACTAAACATTAGAATGTAAAGGACCATCGAGACACTCGAGATGCGTGCGTTTATGGATTGTATAACACATTTGGAATGCAACAAAATTGGAGATGACGCCATTCAATGGATGAAAGCGATAACAATGGTCAAAACGGTGGACAAAAATAAATACAAATTCAGAATTTAGAGCCATATGGGATGAAATCATTGGCAAACCAAATATTCATTAGTGTATAGCCACACAAATGCGATAACACACGGTATCACTATGCAGTGTGTAAAAGTTTAGTGTTTACAATCGGTTTGAATTCAAGAGCTGGTTGTCATAATTATTGGATCTCATAATTTGCGTAAAGAAGATGATCTCAATCTCCAAATAATATGCCTGAAATAGCTAAAGGTCTTAGGAGACACTTGGTTTTACAAGAAAGATTAACATCAATGGTTTTAGGAGACCTTTACTGGTAGATCATATTTGCGTAAAGGAGCACTCATGTCAAGTTTACTGTTAACCCTACCCATTGTTTACTAGTGAATCTATGAACTAATACGAACAAAATCGAGAAAAAGATGGCAATCGAAATAGAATATCATGCAAGTGATATGATTATGTTTAAAATGACAATCTAACTGGAATATGTCAAATTTTGAACATACACAATACATGAAACGAGTATATAAAAATGAACGTAAAATGAAAATAATATTATTACAAAAGAAAATACTATCTTGAGTACGCATTACTTACTAAACAAAAAAAAATACTTTGTTCTTCGAATATGCAGCTTTTCACTCAACTGACCGACACTGCTGATGTCTACCATCCATAATGGTCGTTTACATGTTCTCAAGTGGTACTATATTATAACTAAAGTAGTCTAAATTCATTTTTAATTCGATTTAAGAGGTTGGATCTTCCAAACAGTTATCATTTTCCGTTATAAAAATTCATTTGTAACTGGTAATCAATTTAATGAATATTATGAATGAATAGAATGGAACAAGAAAAGTTATGAATTTTTTTTAAAAAAAAAATCTATTATTTCATTCATGAGCTTTTTTAATCATGAATGTTTTATAATTATTATTACATTCCATTTTTTTTTTCAAATTATCGGTACTAGATTTGTTTCTTATTCTTTTTAAATGGCAGTTTTTTTTTAACTCTAGAAAAATAATTCATTTCATACAAGTTTTATTCTGAAATTAGCAATTCGATTACATTCTATTTTACAAAACTAAGAAGAAAAGAAAAGAAGAAGATCAACACACAATAATGCCTTTCAATGGCAGTTTTTCTCTACTCTAGAAAAATAATTCATTTCATACAAGTTTTATTCTAAAATTAGCAGTTCAGTTACATTCTCTCTTACAAAACTAAGAAGTTGAGAAAAGAAGAAGATCAACACACAATAATGTCTTTGAATGGCAATTTTTTTTTAACTCTAGAAAAAAATTCATTTCATACAAGTTTTATTCTAAAATTAGCAATTCAGTTACATTCTCTCTTACAAAACTAAGAAGTTAAGAAAAGAAGAAGATCAACACACAATAATGCCTTTGAATGGCAGTCTTTTTTTCTAACTCTAGAAAAATAATTCATTTCATACAAGTTTTATTCTAAAATTAGAAGAAGATCAACACACAATAATGCCTTTGACCCAAAAAACTAAAACTCCTGAATAATAACAAAAGACCTAATAAGAGACAACACAAAAACAACAGAGAGACCAAAGATAATTAAGTAGAAACATACTTTGGTTTAGCCACTACTACTCAGACAATAACTAACTTCTCTCTCATTCTCTGCAATGTCACAGCCTCTTTGTACTTTCCTCTTCATCATAGTCCTCTTCGTCGCCACTTTCTACACTCTCCACCACCCACACACAACTCCTCCTCTCCTCTTCTCACAAAACTCCCTCACTCTCCACCGCCTCTTCCTCTCCTCCGCCTCCAACGCCACAATCTCCTCCTACCTCCGCGCTCTAACCCGTCACCCTCACCTCGCCGGAACAAAACCCTCTTCAGACACTCTCCACTACGTCCTAAACCACTTCCAAAACCTCGGACTCAACACGCACCTCACAGAATACGAACCTCTCCTCTCTTATCCTACGCACATCTCCCTCACCGCGCGTTTTAGCAACAACAACACAAAAACACTAAAGTTCGACTTAAACGACGACGTTTTCTCCTCTCCCTCCTCTCACGTCGTTACGCCTTACCACGCTTACTCCCCGTCTGGTTCAGCGCACGGTAACGTCGTTTTCGTGAACCACGGAGAGGAGAGAGACTACCGTGCGCTTGAGTTAATCGGAGTTAACGTTAGAAACTGTGTGGTGTTAGCGAGGAAAGGAGAGTCTTTAGGGAGAGGAGAGATAGTGAAGTTAGCTGAGAGTAAAGGTGCGCTGGGTGTGCTAATATACGCGGAGAATGATGGTGGTGGGGTCGGGGGGATTGAGAGAGGTACGGTTATGAGAGGGATAGGAGATCCGACAACTCCGGGTTGGCCCGGAGTTGTCGGAGGAGAGAAGCTGAGGTTAGAAGATGATCGTGTTGCGAAGAGGTTCCCGAAGATTCCTTCTTTGCCTTTGTCTCTACGCAATGCAGAGGTGATTTTGGCTTCTCTTGGGGGAGTTAGAGCTCCGGTTGAGTGGAGGAACTCGGGTCGGGTCGGGTTGGGACAACGGGTTGGCCCGGGAGAGACGGTTGTTAACATGACGTTACAGGTAAACTAGGTAACTAGTAGAGTCTTGTATTAGTTTCCCTTATATAGAGTCTTTGTAATTTAGTGTCTTTTATTGTTTAAAACCTTTTTGAATTTTAGATTTGAAAGGATTAAATTGGACCTTAATATATGTTCTTGGAAGTAAAATGTTTTGTTAGTTGTAAGAGTTATGAATTTTTTAGGTCAATTTGTACTGTTACAGGTAAACTAGGTAACTAGAGTCTTGTATTTTCCGTTATTTTCTTTGTAATTTAGTGTCTTTTATTATTATTATTGTGATTAATCTCCGTTATGAACTTTTGAATATTAGATTTTGAAAGTTGTAATTTGACTTCAATATTTGTTTTTGCCTTTTAGGAAGCAAAATGTTTTTTTTTTGTTACTTTTGGGTTTGTTAGTTAAAACAGTTGGAATCTTTGATTTATATTCTACATTTAAAAAATCGTTTAGGCGGTAATTATGCATTTTATTTAGCATAGCGCATAGGTGCCGCCTAAATATATTTTTCAGAAAAGTTGTTTAAAAGATGTTTTGTTTAGAACTATTTGCCGCTTAATTACAAACGCTACTATTTACTATCCGTCTTTGAAACTTATAAGGGGGAATTGACAATGAAGAAAGTTCACAATGTTGTGGTTACTATAAGAGGAAGTGAAGAGCCTGATCGTTACGTGATTCTTGGGAACCATAGAGACGCATGGACTTATGGAGCAGTTGATCCAAACAGTGGAACATCAGCTTTACTCGACATTGGTCGAAGATTCTCTCTGTTGCTTAAATCTGGTTGGAAGCCACGTAGGACCATTCTTCTTTGTAGTTGGGATGCTGAAGAGTTCGGAATGGTTAGTTAAAAAAAAAATGCTGAATCTGCTTAATGGCTTTAGACTAAAACCACATTTTGAGTTTAGTGTTTTTTTTTTGCTTTCTTGTTTTGTAGATTGGATCAACTGAATGGGTTGAAGATAATCTTCTAAACTTAGGTGCAAGTGCTGTGGCTTATCTTAATGTAGATTGTGCAGTCCAAGGCTCTGGATTCTTTGCTGGTGCAACTCCTCAGTTAGATGGTCTTATTTTAGATGTATTGAAGTTGGTTCAAGATCCTGATGATGTAGCCTTGACAGTTGAAGAAACATTCAAGTCTCAGAATAATATTGTGAGTAGAAAACATTGTGTAACCTCCACAAGGGTGTCTTTGTGAATATGATGTTATGCTTTGAGTGCAGATAGAGAGGCTAAGTAGAGTAGATTCTGATTTCTCCGGGTTTCTTCATCATGCTGGGATACCGTCTCTAGACATGTATTATGGTGCAGGTAAAACAAGAACTTGATAATGTATATATGTCTAAGTGATGCTTATACTCTTTTGAGTTTTTTTTTTTTTTCAGATTATCCTGTCTATCACACTGCTTTTGACTCTTATGAGTGGATGGTTCGCAATGCAGATCCTTTGTTTCATCGACATGTTGCCAGTAAAGCTTTGTGTTCTTAGTTCTTATTCTTGTTTTCATGGCTGCTATCTAGAGGATTTGGCTCTATATATTTCTCAGTGGCTGGAATATGGGGACTTTTGGGAATCATATTGGCTGATGAGCCAGTCTTACCATTCGATTACATCTCTTATGCTGAACAGTTGCAGGTACATTTCTTCTACTCATTCCCTTTATAAATAAGATGGAAAGTAAACTTGAGTTTACATGTGTTTTGGTGTTACGGTTCAGGCACATAGAGATGCATTGAGCAAGCTCTTACAAGGGAAAGCCTCTATTGATCCCTTGAACATGGCAATACAAGAGTTCTCTTTAGTTGCTAAAGAAGCAAAAGAAGAAGCAACGGTTTCTTGAAAGGGTTTTTGCTGATTGATTGATATATATAATATCGTCACATACCTATTCACATCAAGGTGATTTATTGATTCTGCAGAAGTTGAAGGAGCAAGCATACAATAAAAATGATGTTGTAGCAGCTGCCAAGAGAAGAGAGCTAAATAATAGGATGATGCTTGCAGAAAGAGGGTTTTTGGATTCAGAAGGGATCAAAGGGAAAGAATGGTTCAAGCATCTTGTGAGATAACTTGATTAACAAGATTCTGTTCTCCATCAGACTCTTTACTATTTGTCTCAAAACTCACATGTGATCTTGTGTTTTAGGTGTATGGACCTGCAGCTGAACCAGAGAGCAAGCTAGGTTTTTTCCCGGGAATAGCAGATGCAATTGCAACAAACTCATCAAAGGGAATAGTCCAGCATGAGATATGGAGAGTGGCGAGAGCTATTCAGAGAGCATGCAAAGCTCTTAAAGGAGGGTTTACATGAGATGGGGAAAAAAAAACTTGTTGTTTGTATATGTATTTTGTGACTCTAGATTTTGTAGAAGTATAGCCTCTTACCTTATGATGTAACCAAATCTAATAGTGTAGTATTCAACACACAATCAAGCATTCTTGACTCTGTGGATGATAATAAGATATACAAAATAATAAAAGACTGAAGAATCAATCAGATATGAAGGTAGAGAATCAAGCAAATGTGACATCAAGTGAGATCGGTTCACATTAACAGTCAGATTATACTCGGATGCATCAATGGTTTAATCCTATAAACCCTCAAGATTTACCGAGATCAGTTAAAGTGCTTGTTCTTCATACCATGAAACAAACGAAGAAGCTTGTAGGTCAAGCTTTAGAGATTAGTAAGATATGCATGCATCATACGAAATGTAGTTTATGCAGACATAAACATATAATTTGCAGCATTTAAAATCGAGATTTTTTTTTTGGTAAACATCAGGGTGAGAAAAAGTATTCCCTCTGTTTCATATTAATTATCCTTGTATAGTTTAGTTTTTGTCACATTTTAAGTGTAGTTTGACGCTTACAATGCATTTACTTGATAGATATTTCATTTTACTTTTATTTTTAGTTCATTAATAAATATAATCAAATAAAATAATGTAATTATTAGAGGAAACAATTTCTTAATTATGATTTTTTTAATAAAATCACATAAATTTCAATATTTTTCCTATTCACAGCCACATTGATGATGTCTGAGGCATTTTCTTATAATTTCTCTTACAAATTCTTCATTAACTTGGGATCATTTTTTTTTCAAATACCTTGTGAATAAGATTACATAATTCATCTCTAAACCAAATAAACTTAAAATATCGAGATACACAAGTGACAACCAACTAAGAACACTTCCAACAATGGATTTTAGCATCGAGGTTTTAAAAAAAAAAAAATATATATATATATATATATAAATTGCTCTAATGACAAACGAGCCCCAATATATAACTCTGGTGCTAGATACCACTATTGAAATTGCTCTAATGACAAACGAGCCCCAATATATAACTGAAATGATATATAACTTGGATCAATTACCATGAGGAAAATAACATCTCATATGTCAGAATATTTTTTGACCTACGAATATTCTACGACACTTGCTTAAAACGAGTTCTTAACCGTGAGGAAAAATAAATCCTAGAACAATTTTTTATTTTTATTTTAACTAAAAAAATCAGAACCAAATATTGTCTGCTAATTGAAGTAAGAAAAGGTGGAGGAGAAAATAGATAGGGAGAAGAAGAAGTCAAAGAGAAAAGAACGACGTCGTAGTCATTGTCAGAAGAATATACCCACATATTGGAAAAGAATATGCAACGCAAAAACAGAAAATGATTTACGTATAAGTAGCCGTTCCCGACGCTACCTCTAATCTTCATTTCTCACACAAACCATTCATCTTCTTCTCTGTCTCAAACAGTTTCTTAAAAAAGGCAACAAATAGTCTCTCGTTTTTTCTTCTTAAGACAATCCTACAAGTATTTGTCAGCGAGAAAGTCATCAAAAAGAAATTTACTAGCTCTTTTTGTAAGTTTCTTCTTAGTCAAATTGATGTTTTTGTGAATTTATTTTACTTCTCTTTATGTGTTGTTCGGATTAGATACCAGGATCAAGCATGACTTTGGTTATTTTTTATTTATTATTCCTCTGTCTCCACAACATCTGTTTTGTCATTCTTACATAAATATGTTAATAACGTACGAGTTTTTGTTTGTCTTTTTTTTTCTTCTAAACTTAATTTGTTTATGTCTTTTCTTGGATTGATATGTATAAAGAGTGTTGCCTATCACATAGTAACATCTTATTTTATTGTTTAAAAGGGTTTTTTAGCTAAAGAATTTACAAAACTGTTGTATGAAATGTCGATAAAAGAATGCAAAACATGAGTATCGTATATAATCTATCTCTTTGAACTGGTTAGTCTTGTAACGAGAATAACATTTATGAACTTGTAATGATTATAGTCACTGAATAAAAACTCAATATTAAGAGATATACCTAATCCTTAATTATTAGTTATGTACTAAATGAATATTCTTATGATAAAACGCAGAAAGAGAAACAATGGCAGGAGATCAACTAGACGTGCTAAACGCACTCGACGTTGCAAAAACGCAATGGTACCATTTCACAGCCATCATCATCGCAGGAATGGGATTCTTCACCGACGCCTACGACCTTTTCTGCATCTCTCTAGTCACAAAGCTTCTCGGCCGCATCTACTACCACGTGGACGGCGAATCAAAGCCAGGAAACCTACCACCAAACGTCTCAGCCGCGGTTAACGGCGTTGCGTTTGTTGGCACACTCACGGGCCAGCTTTTCTTCGGCTGGCTCGGTGACAAACTCGGTAGAAAAAAAGTTTACGGCATGACTCTCGCCGTCATGGTCGTATGCTCCATCGCTTCGGGTCTCTCCTTTGGTAGCACACCGAACTCGGTGATGACTACTCTATGTTTCTTCCGTTTCTGGCTAGGGTTTGGGATTGGCGGGGACTATCCTTTGTCCGCGACCATTATGTCTGAATACGCTAATAAAAAGACACGTGGCGCGTTTATAGCAGCGGTTTTCGCTATGCAAGGGTTTGGAATCTTGACTGGAGGGATATTTGCGATTATTGTGTCTGCGGTTTTTGATGCTCAGTTTCCTGCTCCGCCTTATAAAGTGGATGCCTTGGCTTCCACGGTACCTCAAGCTGATTACGTGTGGAGGATTATACTAATGGTTGGTGCCGTGCCTGCTGCGATGACGTATTACTCAAGGTCCAAGATGCCCGAGACCGCGCGGTACACGGCCCTTGTGGCTAAAGACGCTGAGTTAGCTGCTTCAAACATGTCTAAGGTTTTGCAAGTGGAGATAGAAGCGGAGCATGAGAGAGTAGAAGAGATTGGGAGAGATAGGTCAAAATCTTTTGGCTTGTTCTCCAAGGAATTCATGAAACGTCATGGTCTTCATTTACTTGGAACCTCAAGCACATGGTTTTTGTTAGACATCGCCTTTTATAGTCAGAACCTTTTTCAAAAAGATATTTTCAGCGCCATTGGATGGATCCCACCGGCTCAGACCATGAACGCAATCCAAGAAGTTTTCAAGATCGCGCGTGCGCAAACCCTAATCGCCTTGTGCAGCACGGTACCTGGTTACTGGTTCACAGTTGCATTTATCGACATCATGGGTAGATTTGCGATACAGATGATGGGGTTCTTCTTCATGACTGTCTTTATGTTCGCTCTAGCCATTCCTTATGACCATTGGACTCACAAGGAGAATAGAATCGGTTTCGTGGTTATGTACTCGTTAACATTCTTCTTCGCAAACTTTGGACCTAATGCGACAACTTTTGTGGTGCCAGCTGAGATCTTTCCGGCTAGGTTTAGGTCAACTTGTCATGGAATCTCCGCGGCTTCTGGAAAGTTAGGAGCAATGGTTGGTGCGTTTGGGTTCTTGTACTTGGCGCAGAGTCCTGATAAGAACAAGACAGAACATGGATATCCTCCAGGGATTGGTGTCAAGAACTCGCTCATTGTGTTGGGTGTGGTTAATCTTTTGGGGATGTTTTTTACATTGTTGGTTCCTGAATCTAAAGGCAGGTCTTTGGAGGAAATGTGTGGTGAGAACGAGGAAAATGATGAAGGCAGCAGTTTCAGCAACAACCGAAACAGCACGGTATGAACTGCATAGAGATTCTAAAGAGACTTGTATTACTTATTACATGTATTTTTTGTTCACTATATCTTCTTGACACTAGAAGCTCAAGTTATTATTTATATTCACTTTTTATTTGATTGATTTAAAATGGTATAGGATCCTTTTTACACATCTGTTTCAGTTTGTTTTTTTGGATATTTTTAGAACCTTTTTGTTTGTGTAATCCATTGTAACAAATGAAATGAAGGGAATAGAAAGCTATTATGATGAAAATGTGTTTTTCAGGGTTCATTGTCACCACTGAACTAAATAAGAAAGGATTTTAGAGTCAAATATTAAACAGTAACACTAAGCAAAAAGGTGTATACAGTACTGATTGTCAACTTGATTGAACTGATTGGAAAGTAAAGCCATAAAGAATAGCAACTGGTCCAATGCTCATAGATTACAAGGCAGCTCTGTCTCTGGTGCTCTTGGTACATAAAAGTTAATGTGTTCAAAGTTATAGTATACTATAGACTGATGAGGTGAATCTTCTTGCAAAGGATTTGAAAAGGGAAAAAGTTTACGTTCTGCAATTAATGGGTAAAACCAAATCTGCATTGTCTTTGTTTCTTCAGCCATTTTTTTTTCTTTTCAATCTGCAACCTTGCAAGGAGATGATGCATGGTTCTATGTATAGTAACTCTAGGAAAGATGTTTATTGCACCTTTTTGAAGGCATCAATGAAAGCAAGAGTAGAAACGAGAGCTTACATATCTTTTGCTTAAATGGTAATAGGGCTACTACGACTAAATTGCTTACCGTTGAAGCAATTCAGTTGCTCTCGTTACAATACAATACACCAATATTCTGGATCTTGGTTTCTGTAAGAAAGAACGGACCTTTGATGCGTATAACTAGGTCTCGGACATAGAGGTAGCTTCGTCTTCAGAGACCAACTGAAACCAAACCGTGCAATGTAATAATTCCAATCAACAAAAAAAAAAATAATAATAAAAAAAAAAATTAATTCCAATCAACGTGTTGTCTGCTTTGACCACTCGTAAAAACTGTACATGCGATGGAGGTGACTTCATTTTCTTCATAGCTTCAACATACATCAATACTTATAGGATCTAAAGCATAATCTCTTCTCTCACCTGTTGAACATTTCTCCACTTGCTTTGAGAGTCCGGCGAAGATCTCCATCACTGAATGTACCCATCTACCAATGATCATGATCAAGTATGAAGCACGGGGACGTCTAAATGATGGACGTATCCGTACCGGATACGTTTCCAAGATGGGGACACTTCGGGGACGGCACGGGGACAGCTGGAGATGCAACCGTCAATTATGAAATGTTTCAAAACAGCTTTGCCTTATTATTATCATTGCTTAAGCTTATTCATTTACTTTTCTTTCAAATAAAAAATAGAAGTTCAAGCTAGATTTTGAGTTTAGAACCTTCTTTCTAATCTTTTTAGTTTATAAAATTTTATTAGATAAAATTTACAGTAATATTTTTTAATTTTTAGTTTTTTTAGTTTTTTTTTTAATTTTTAGTATATAAATATACATATATATATATATCAAATAAATAAATATATCAACATTTATGTTGCCCAAAAAAAAATCAACATTTATTGATATAATATGTGCTGTATCCGTACCCATAACTTTTTAGTTTTGCCTTTTCCCGTCCCCACTTCCGTAGTACCCACTTCCATACCCGTATCTGTTCCCGTATCCGTCTCGGTGCAATCAAGTCTCCTTTACAAGCCGGAAGCTTCATAACACTCTTGACGTGCAAGAAACAGCTCAATAATAAATTCACTCCAAAACCCTAATGGTTCATGTGAGCAATCTCAAGATCAAGCTCTTGCCGATTCTACCGGCGGGATGATTAGCTGCATACTCCTCCTTAGTTAGATTCTTAGCCGCCATGAGTGCAGCGGCAATGGTATCACCGAAAAACAATCTGAATCGTCGTGGAAGTCACGGGAGCGAGATTAAACGGACATATTTTCTTACCTATTTTTCTAAGTAAGAAAAGAATGATAGGTTATCCTAAAAATACATGTGATGCGGTGAAAAATAGAAGTTCAATGACCTTATTTTTCTCTTATTTTTAGTATGTCCTCCGTTTCATATTAAGTGTCGTTGTAGAGAATTTTTTGCGTTACAAAATAAGTGTCGTTTTCGGTTTTCAATGCAAAATTTATTAATTTGATTAAGTAATTAATTTTTCTATTGGTTAAAATATGGTTAGGTGTATAGTTAACTGTGTTTTTATATAGAAAATATGTAAAATTAATTATTTCATTAATCCATGTGCACAGCTGTAGAGTGACAATTATAATGAAACAGAGGGAGTATCTTTTTAGAGACTAGATGTTTTGCCCTTTATATAGAAAATATGTAAAATTAATTATTTCATTAATCCATGTGCACAGCTGTAGAGTGACAATTATAATGAAACGGAGGGAGTATCTTTTTAGAGACTAGATGTTTTGCCCTCACTTACAGGCATAATTCTCTTATGAATACTTATTAGTTGATGTTTCATTAATTTAAAAATCAGTATAATAAGTTATTATTTATGTTTTCAAAAAATACAAATAAAACATCAAATAATTATATATGACAAAACTCAAACATCAGAAATTTAAAAGAATATATTTCTATAATTATTTTGTTTGATTTATATTAATTATAATATTTATAAAAATATTTTTACTTAATTTATATTTGATTATAATTTTTTCTATATTAATTTTAAATTTTATAATAGAAAACATATTTTTAAGATAAAAATATAATGCATAAGTTATTTATTTTCTAAAATATAATATGATAAATTTATTGTAATTATGTAATGTTTATATAGGATTATAGAATTATGACATATAGTTAAAATTAACTAAAAATCATGGAGGACTTAATGAATCAGCAAATTCACTTCTTGAATAAGTTTTCTTGAGTGATGATTTATATTTAATTAATTATAGATAAATTTTTATATTTTAATTTTAAATTATATAATATAAAAATATATTTTCAAGATAACAACTTAATACATAAAAATTACCTTATTTTCTAAAAGTATACTATTATTAGTGTAAATTTATTTCAATTATAGAATAACTCATTTTTATATCTTAATTTTAAATTTCTAATAGAAAAATATATTTTCAAGACAACAACTTAATATATCAGAAGTATCTTATTTTCTAAAAATCTGATACTACTAATATAAATTTGTTTAAAATATATAATAAATTATATATAAAATTATAGAAATTATGATAAATTATTAAAATTACCTAAAATCATGAAACATGTGACAAATCAACAAACATCAAATTAACTTCTTAAATAATAGTATAGATTTTTTATGTTAATTTTAAATTTTATAATATAAAAATATATTTTCGAGATAACAACATAATACATAAGAATTAACTTATTTTATAAATTATCTTATTATTAATATAAATTAGTTTTAATTATATAATCAATAATAAACAAAATTAGAGAAGTTTTGATAAATGATCAAAATTACCTAGGATCATGGATAATAATTTTTATATCTTAAATTACAGTTTTATAATACGAAAATATATTTTCAACATAAAAACATAATACATAAAAATTATTTTATTTTAGAAAAATATAAAATTATTAATATAGATTTCTTTTAGTTATATAATAAATATAATAATTTTTCTATCTTAATTTTAAATTTAAGTTTTAAATAAACAAAATTACCTATAGAAAATATGACAACTAAGCAAATTTACTTCTTAAATAATAGTATAGAAGAGTGGTGGTGAAACAAACTAATGTGGAACAAAAAGTAGTGAGGTAGTATAATTAACTTTGCATGATTGAAGAGTATTGTTTAATTTTGAAGAAGGTGATTGATTTTGTACATTAACTATGATCTTGTCTAACACCATCTTGAGAATTTTGTAATAGTCTTTTTGAGACATTATAGAATATTTTATTAGCTTTGAGTTAGAAATATTAAAAAGAAGTTACTTCGGCTGATCTCCACAATAAACATGAAATTCTGTATCTACTGAACGTTGGATCAAGTGGATAGTCATTTGTACAACACTACAACCTGAACTCAGATGCTGAAAGTTCGATACAAATCCACTGGACTAAATCACAGGTTAATGTGTTCTGAAGAAAAACCAAACATACTAAATCTGAATAGAATCAAGCGATTAAAATCTAATAAACAACACGTGCTAGATAGAATTATAGGTACATAAACAAAGTTGTGAAACATAGTGTAGGTTGTGAGAGAAGTAACAGAAGTGCTATATTGTATCAGCCTCCTCCCAAACAACATCTTCTACAAACCTACTGAATCTTAATCTATGATCAAAGTAATGAGAAACTAAAAAGTCACTGTTTTAAATCCTCCTCCTTGAGAATGGGATGCTAACACGGAAGCAGAGGTCGTTTCCATCTCCATCATCGAGTGAGTAACTGCACATCAACACAGCAAGCTGCACAAAACATCATCCAAATTCTAGTTACAGCTTTCCCAAAAAAGAAATAACAACAGAACAGACATGAGTAGAAAAGAGAGATAGATTCCAAGTAGGATCTATAATGAACAAGCATCCTCTTTGGTCCAAAACGAAGTGAACGTAAGAACCCTCACGTTCAGACAAATGAAGGATCCGGCTCAAGAGGTGGTCCACACGACACATTCTTGTTAAGGCAAAAAGACCAAGCCCATCGGAAGATTCACGTGTCTAATTCTAAAACGTGTAAGGCAATCTTAAAAGATAATTGCGTTTAGGTAAACTTAAGAAACCTAAAAACTAAGGATATTTATGATCATGAGTTAGCACTAACGTGAGAAGCGAGCGATTAACATACCCATCATCCGGAGGTACCGGGTCGTTTCCCGCTCGATCTTGGCCGACCTAAGTAATCTGGATCGGAACGAAGCCTCTCATACCCGCCAGATTTAGGTCGCCCGGTCTGTCCATACCCCTGCCGAGGTTGTTCCTGGTGAGGCAATCTCTGACTCGGATCTATAGAGTCGAGACCAGGTTTCTCGTCTTTTCGGACAAAACCTGGTCTAAGATGCGGAGGAACAAACTTGTCAGGTTTCAGTGAACCAGACACAGGAGCAGGAGCAGTTACGTGTTTGTCAGAGTCCAAGGCCCGAGCTGGAAATGAAAGAGAGGAAGCAGGTCCTGTATGTCCTAAAGGACGCAGAGAGATCTGGTTCGGATCTGGATCAGAGGTTGCTTGATCCGGAGTCTTGGGAGGTGGAGATGGGGTAGGAGGCGTAGTGGTGGAAGATTTCAAGGGCTTGGGAGAAGGTTTGGTGAGGACGAGCATACGGCCATTGGAACGAGCAACGGAGGAGTAAGAAGCAGGGGAAGGAGAAGAAGAAGGATCTCTTTGAAGGATGTGGCTGTAGTTGTATTTGTTGTTGGTTCTTGCCATTCAATCTGCTCTTTATTGCTTTTTCTCTGGACCTTATACAAGTTTGTTTCTCTTTTTTATATTTTGGGAAGAAGATGAATCTGTTTTCCGGTTTTCGTTTTCTGTTGTCTACCTTATTGGATATACCGGTCTGGTTTAATTCTGGTTTAGTTAGATTGATTTTATTAAGCTTGGTTTAGTTTCCTTTTGCTAAATCATGTATATTATTATGGTTTGTTTGTAACTGACATTTTGAGTTGAATAACAAACATTTCTATTTTCATCTTCCTCCATCTTGAGCTCTCAATATCGATTCCATGGAGTCATCTTGATGNTTAATTCTGGTTTAGTTAGATTGATTTTATTAAGCTTGGTTTAGTTTCCTTTTGCTAAATCATGTATATTATTATGGTTTGTTTGTAACTGACATTTTGAGTTGAATAACAAACATTTCTATTTTCATCTTCCTCCATCTTGAGCTCTCAATATCGATTCCATGGAGTCATCTTGATGAAGATAGATTGATCTTAATATGGTATCAGAGCACACATAACTTGCTTCCGCGTTCTCTGTTATCGGCATGAGTTTTCCGATCACCGTCTATTCGCGTTTTCTCCGACTTCTCTCGGCGGCGATCGGTGATTTTCTGCTTCAGCTCGCTCTTTGTTGTTATCTTCTTGTTCAATCTCTCCTAGATTGAACATTTTTCCCTTGTTCTCGACTCGATCGGTGTGTTTCTTTTGGTGATCTAATCTTCTTTCATGGCGACTGCGAATCCGGAGGTTACGACGGAGCGTTTTCCCGTTGATCATTACGATAATCCTTATCATCTTCATCGTAATGATCACGCTGGCCTTGCTCTCGTTACGGATCGATTGACTGTTCCTTCGGAGTTCCACTCTTGGCGCCGCTCTGTTCTTATGGCGTTAAATGTTCGCAATAAACTCGGCTTTATTGATGGTACGATCTCTAAACCTGCTCCTTCACATAGAGATTATGGTGCTTGGTCTCGCTGCAATGATATGGTAGCAACATGGTTAATGAATTCTGTATCTAAGAAGATAGGTCAGAGTCTGTTATTCATTAACACTGCTGAAGGAATCTGGAATAATTTGTTGACAAGATTCAAACAAGATGATGCACCACGAATCTTTGATATTGAGCAGAAGTTGAGTAAACTTGAACAGGGTTCGTTGGATGTATCTGCGTACTATACTGAGCTTGTAACGTTGTGGGAAGAATACAAGAATTATGTTGATTTACCAGTGTGTACTTGTGGTAAATGTGAGTGTGACGCAGCTGCACTTTGGGAGAAATTGCAGCAACGTAGTCGTGTAACTAAGTTTCTTATGGGGTTGAATGAATCATATGATCAGATTCGCAGGCATGTTCTTATGTTGAGGCCTATTCCCACCATTGAAGAAACTTTCAATATTGTTACACAAGATGAAAGACAACGTCTGATCAAGCCAGTCACTCGTGTTGATAGTGTTGCTTTTCAGACTTCTGCACCTTCTGCTTTGACTCCTGAGGATCAATATGTTGCTGCGTACAATACTTCTCGTATTCACCAGAGACCGGTCTGTACTCATTGTGGAAAGTCTGGCCATACCATTCAAAAATGTTTCAAGATTCATGGCTTTCCTCCTGGTTATAAGAGTCATTACAAGCCACAATCTAAGATGAAGCCATCTCAACCTCCAGTGCAAGCTTCCTCTGTGTCTGATAGTACTACTAAGGCTATTGCAAATGTGTACTCTACGGTTGGCTCATCTCAGGCAACACCACATCTTACTACGGGTGGTACGAGTATGACTCTCCAGGACTTTACTCCACAACAGATTCAGTCCCTTATTGCTCAGTTCAATTCCCAGGTTCGGGCTCAAGATCATTCAGCTCCTTCCTCACAGGCTTCTCAAACTGGTCGAGCAACTATAACTGATCACGGTATCATGGCTTTAACTTCCACTTCTGGTATTATTCCTTTTCCCTCTATCAGTCTTCAACATGTTAACAATGTCCTTCTCTTTCAAAACCAGTGTCTTTCCTCTATTCAATCTTTTCTTCCTTCAAACGCTTGGATTATAGATAGTGGGGCTTCTAGCCATGTATGTTCGGACTTAGCTATGTTTACCTCATTATCCCCTGTCTCTCGTATCTCAGTATCTTTACCAAATGGTATTCAGGTTCCTATTACACACACTGGCACGATTCATATCACATCCACATTGATTCTTTATGATGTCTTGCATGTTCCTGACTTTAAATTCAATTTGATTAGTGTGAGTTGTCTTGTTAAAACTTCCTATTGTGCTGCTCATTTCTTTCCTACTGGCTGTTTTATCCAGGATCTTACTCAGGGCTTGATGATTGGGAAGGGTAATCTGTTTAACAATCTTTACATTCTTGATCATGCGTCTACATCATCATCTTCATTGGTTTCACTTTCATCACAAGTATCATCATCTCAGTCTGCTTTACCTGCTGTTTTCTGTGGATCTTTGTTGGATGAAGAACAATTGTGGCATCACCGATTAGGACATCCGTCTTCACTTGTTTTGCGCAAACTTACATCTTGTTTACCATCTTTTAAAATGAATGTTTCTGAGACTACTCATTGTTCAATTTGTCCTTTAGCAAAACAAAAACGATTGGCCTTTGTTTCTAATAATCATTTGTCATCAAAACCTTTTGATTTGGTTCACTTAGATATATGGGGTCCTTTCAGTGTTGATTCTATTGAAGGTTTTCGTTATTTTTTGACTTTAGTTGATGACTGTACTCGTTTTACATGGGTCTATTTGCTTAAACAGAAGAGTGATGTTTCACAAGTGTTTCCTGCTTTTTTAACAATGATTAGAACACAGTTTCAAGTTCAGATAAAAGCCATCCGGTCTGATAATGCTCCTGAATTAGCATTTACTGAGCTAATGACTAGATATGGCATGTTACATTACTTTTCATGTGCATATACACCACAGCAAAACTCTGTAGTTGAACGTAAGCATCAACATCTTTTGAACGTTGCACGTGCATTGCTTTATCAGTCTAACATACCATTACCTTATTGGAGTGACTGCATTATTACTGCAACCTTCTTGATAAATCGTCTTCCATCTCCATTACTTGGTCATGTTTCTCCTTTTGAAAAATTAAAAGGTACAACTCCTGACTACTCTCAGTTGAAAACTTTTGGTTCTTTGTGTTATGCTTCAACCTTATTGAAAGATAGAACAAAGTTTTCTCCTCGTGCACTTCCTTGTGTCTTTTTAGGCTATCCTTTGGGATATAAAGGTTATAAACTTCTTGACCTTGAATCTCGTTCTGTTTTCATTTCTAGAAATGTGATTTTTCATGAATCGGATTTTCCATTCAAAACATCAGAGTTTTTAAATGAATCTGTTGATATGTTTCCTAACTCTATCTTACCATTACCTGCTCCTTTGCATTTTGTGGATTCTATGCCTGTTGATGTTCCTTGTTCTAGTTCTGCATCATCTTTACATGATCATACACAACCTGAACCTTTGAATAATCATACTGAGACACCTGAGACACAGGTTACTGAGGCTCCTATAGCAAGGTTTAAACGTATTACTAGAGTTCCTAGCTATCTTTCTCAATATCATTGTTCTTTAATTCCTTTTACTACCATTTCAGAACCATCTTGCTCTATTAAACAACCACATTTTCCCACCCCATATCCCATTTCTTCTGTTCTTTCTTATGATTCCCTTGCTCCACATTTTCAAGCTTATACCCTTGCTTATACTCTTGACCGTGAACCTAAGAATTTTAAAGAGGCCATGAAATCGAAAGTTTGGGATGATGCTGTGAATGTGGAACTTACTGCTCTTGAGGATAACAGGACATGGGACATTGAATCTTTGCCTATGGGAAAGAATGTTGTTGGATGTAAATGGATTTTTACCATCAAATATCATGCAGATGGGACTATAGAACGTTATAAAGCTCGCTTGGTTGCACAGGGTTTCACACAACAAGAAGGCATTGATTATATAGATACCTTCTCTCCTGTTGCTAAGTTGACGAGTGTGAAGCTTTTGCTTGGTCTTGCTGCTGCTAAGGGCTGGAGCCTTACTCAGATGGATGTGTCTAATGCATTCTTGCATGGTGAACTTGATGAGGAAATATATATGAGTCTTCCTCAAGGCTATACGCCTGCACAAGGAACTGCTTTACCTTTGAATCCTGTTTGCCGGCTTAGGAAATCTCTTTATGGGCTTAAACAAGCGTCAAGGCAATGGTATAAACGGTTCTCTTCAGTTCTTCTTGGTGCAAATTATGCTCAGTCTCCTGCAGATAATACTTTGTTTGTCCGCAAAGTTGGTGAATCTTTTTTTGCAGTCTTGGTTTATGTCGATGACATTCTCATTGCTAGTAATGATCCTACCGCAGTGACGGCTCTTCAGGCTTTACTGCATTCTGAGTTTAAGATCAAGGATCTTGGCACTGCGAGATTTTTCTTGGGTCTAGAGATTGCACGTACCTCTGCAGGAATCTCTGTGTGTCAACGCAAGTACACTTTGTCTCTTCTTGAAGATTCAGGACTGTTAGGATGTAAGCCAAGTACCATTCCTATGGACCCGACACTTCACTTGACTAAAGATCTTGGTAAACCTCTGCTTCATCCTACTTCCTATAGAGAGTTGATTGGTCGTTTGTTATATTTGACAATTACACGACCTGACATTACTTTTGCGGTTCATCAATTGAGTCAATTCCTCTCTGCTCCGACTGATATTCATCTCCAGGCTGCACATAAAGTACTTCGTTACTTGAAGACTAATCCTGGACAAGGTTTATTCTTCTCTGCCTCAACAGAACTTTGCTTGAACGCATTTGCTGATGCAGATTGGGGAACATGTCGTGATACAAGAAGATCAGTTACTGGTTTCTGTGTGTTTCTTGGTACTTCTTTGATTTCGTGGAAATCCAAGAAGCAATCTGTCGTCAGTCGTAGCAGTACAGAGGCTGAGTACAGAAGTCTTGCGTTAGCTACTTGTGAGCTCATTTGGTTACAGCAGCTGCTTCGTGATCTTCACATTGATATGTCCTCTACTCCGAAGCTCTTCTGTGACAACAAATCAGCTATACATCTCGCCACTAATCCGGTTTTCCACGAGCGTACTAAGCATATTGAGATCGACTGTCACACTGTTCGCGATCAGATCAAAGCTGGTCGTCTCATTGCTCTTCATGTCTCG